TGGTTTTGGGCTGCAATAAATCCCATTAAAAACAAACAAACAAACAAACAAACAAAACCCCACCAAACACCAAAGTCTTGTAGATATAGTTTTTTTCCAATACTTTAATCCTTCTTTTGGTGGAAGATGTATTCTTCAGGTGGTGGCTGCCCTGTCAGACAGTGCCACCCTAAGCTGTTGCTTTAGAGTCAGCAACCAGACTGCAACTATTCCAACACCGAATCTAAACACGGGATGACTCGGGGTGTGGGGGGATAATTTTTTAAAAATAATACACAGGTAATGTTCCAGTGTAAAACTTTGCTCTGGAGGCGTCCATTGAAATTTCGGCTTTATCAGGAGGGGTGATGGGTGCGGGCGGCGGTCAAAGCGATGCTTCCTCCCCAGAGTTTCCCGAGGAAAGTATCCGTGCCGGCCGCTCCCCCAGCGCTCCGGAGCGGGCTGGGGCGGGAGTGATGTCAGCGCCGGGCGGGCGGCGAAGCTCCCTCCGCCTGCCCCTGCCTGCCCCCTGCGCGGCACCGAGCGAGAGGCGAGGGCGGGCGACTGAGGAGATAAGGAGGCGGCGGGGAGGGCCGGAGGGAGGGGAGTCCCGGGGGGAGCCCCCCGAGCGGCGCTCCGGGAGCGGGCGGGCCGGTAGCAAATGCTGCCAGGGGAGCGGGCGGGGCGTTCCCGGGGCGCGGAGCGGCCGCGCCGGGCGGGACGCGCCAGCGCTCCGCGCCGGGGGTTTCCCTCCCTCGCCTACTTCTTCGCAGCTGCGCTTCAGAAATGAGGAGGAGGGAGCGAGGGCAGCCCGCTAGCTGCAGGCTGTAGTCGGGACCTGCCGAATGTAAACCTGCCGTGCCTTCGGGAGACGCGCCGCGCTTGCTCTGCTCTGCAGCTGCCTTAAAGAGCTCTTCGGGATGGCACTGGGAGAGTCCGTCTGAGACGTTCGTTTTCCGACGGTCTGCTCAAAGGACGCATTGGCTTGGCTGCTAGAAAGTGATGTTTTCCTCTGGGACTTGTGGAGGCACCACGGACAAGCCTGGTTCAAGAGGAGGATAAACTGCCTTTCAGATCAAGGTTATTTATAGCTACTGCCAAAAAAGTAAAGGACTGGTTTATTATTCTTGCTGTTCTGGATTTAACTTATTTCCCCCACACACCTCAAGATTTTCTCCGTGCCTTGGTCAGGACCATACAAGCCACTGTGGATTCTGTCTTTACAAGTTGCCGCACCATGTTTTATTTATAAAGGAGATGGGACCCTGCAAACCAGTTAAATGGATTACAGTTAAGCAGTCATCTACAGAAGATAATGTACTGCCTTCTGTAATGCCTATTCATTTGGAAGGCTTATTTGGGAGATTTTAGATACAGATGCTGACCTGGAAAAATAAATGAAGACTTCCACTGAATGTTTAAAATATTTGGCTACTGCTGGGTTTTTGCTATAATTTGTTTTTCTGTGACATTCGAACATTTCTGTTACTTTCTAACTGAAGCACTTTATATTTTGGGGGTTGTGGAGCCTCACATCCAGGTAAAGTCACATTTAAACGGATGCACTGATTATGAATGACCTCAGCCACCTCATAACTTATGATGTATATTTTGTGTCTATGCATCTTATGCTAAGGGCAAGTTTACTATTTCTTCTGACTGCTAGTGTTTTTTAAATGTTTCCCCTGAATCCATGAAAACAGAGGTGTAGTGGTGTACTTGTGTGAATACTTTGGAGATGGGGAAGCCACTTAGCAGGCCAGATTGTCTACGCCAGAATCCTCCATGTGTTGGCAAAGGGGAAGAAGATGAAGATCTAAATATCGAGGACTGCTATGTTCCCCAGAGGTCTATCTATGACACTGTGCGGCTGAATGAACAGATTGATTCGGGCTCCAAGGGCAGCCTCTCTTCGAGGCATTTCACAGACCGGACTTTACCCTACAGTCACAGAACACTGGACATCAGCACTTTGTGCTCCAATGGTGCCCTTACTTCTTCCAGTGTTTTTGAGCTCCGAAGCCGTGAAGCTAACAAGTTAGATGAAAAAATGATCTTTGATGCTCTTAAACTGAACAGCGATATAATTCGGACAGCTGGATTACCCAAAGTGAAGTCTCACACAGAAAAGAAGGAGCACAGACGATCGTGGAGAATGCTTGTTCCACCCAACTTTTCAGATTACACTAATAAAAGTGAAAGCTCCTTTAACGAAACTGCTGATATGTCAGAGGCAGCTAGACTGGGCAAATGCAAATGGGGTACGAATTCTCTTACCTCGGAAGAGGATGATTCTGGTTTATGCAGCCCTCCAACAGAAAGGGAAGATAAACAAGACACACTCTTAGCAGGGGATCAAACTCAAAAACAGAGTCTATCTTCTGCAGAAGATATCCATGCAGTAGGTCAGTTCAGACCACATATCCCAGCAATTTGCAGAGAACAGCAAACCCCACTGCGTGCAAGCACAAATGTCGATGTCAAAGAAAACTGCAAATGGGCTTTGCATGACTTTTTGCCCTCTGGAGAAGTAAAACAAAGCAATGCACAGACATGTGAGAGTGATCAGGAAGAGATGGGGGAGAAATACTCTCACTTACAAGGTTTCAAAGAGAAACCTCTGTCCCATGAAGATCCTCTTCAAAGTGATGGAAGAGGTATTAGTCTTGGCAAAAATGAAATGGAAAATGCATATGAAGTTCATGAAAAAAATAAAACGCAAGTCACAACAGTAGAGGAGGATTATGTGGATGATGCACTTCCTCATATAGATGTTTATTACATGAATGCTGCTGTAAATACTAGTGACTTGGATTTTGCAAAATATGAAATTTTATCTGATATGGAGGAATTCAGTGTAGCACATACAGGATCAAATGAAATGGCATTTTCTGTACAACAGCTTGAATTAGATAGTACTGTAAACTGCCCAAAAGCTTTTTCAGGGGAAAATGGCAATATCTGGACTACTGGCATCCAAGATACCTTGGATAGAGTCTGCAATGGCCTCTTGTCCAATAAGGTAATTTAAAAAAATAAAATCCACAGATTTGTGAAATAGTTGTAATATAACCTTACAGATATTTGTTTAAAACTTTGTTTTGTCATTGTTGCGAAAATGTAACTTTTTTTATTATTATTAATTAGGCAGATGCAGTAATGAGTGTCATTTGCATAGCACACATGGGGTGTCCAAAATAGGTGGGATGGTCAGTATGGAAAATGAACTGGGGGCAAATTCTGAGAGGGGTGATTCCTCCAGCTGTTTTGAGCAGGGTTATTTATTGCCCAGCTGGTGCTTTTTATTCCCGACTGGAGTGCCTCCTCCGTGCTCCGTGGTGGTGCTCCGTGTCTGTACAGAGTGTGGCTACAGGCAATGCCATTCAAGGGCAGCTACAGCCCATGTGTTCAGCTTGAGCAGCCGTACTCATCAAGGTATAAGCAACAGTATCAGATGGTTGTGGTTTCCAAAGCAGGCAGATTAAAGGGTCACCGCCTCTTCTGAGAGCCGCCTTTTGCATTTGCGTGCCAGAAAGCAGATCTGACTCTATGGTAGTATTTTACAAGCGCTGGATCTTGCAGTGCTTTGTGAGTGGTGGATGAGGTAAGAGAGTAAGTGAAACTTTGTAATAAGGAAAGGGTGTTTGTCGGGTCTGTAATCTTTTTCTTCCCACTCTGGTTGAAATCTGAATACTTCAAGCTTTGTTGCTAAGTTGTTCTGGTAAACTTTGGCCTCAGCAATAATTGTAATTTATTTTAAGCTTCTCTCCACAAAGAATGTGTGCATTTTTAAAGGGCAGATTATGGAGATCAGTCCTCTCTGTNTTTTTTTTTTTTTTTTTTTTTTTTTTTTTTTTTTTTTTTTTTTTTTTTTTTTTTTTTTTTTTTTTTTTTTTTTTTTTTTTTTTTTTTTTTTTTTTTTTTTTTTTTTTTTTTTTTTTAGAACAAAACTGTTAGGGGTGCTTAATTATTTTATCCCTCATGTTTAGTGTATTTGCTGTAGACTCTAGATTGACTTGTCAAGCTGGTGGAAGTATGCTCAGCCACCTGAGGTCTGCAGCTTTAAAAGCAGTCACTTGCCACACTGTGTTTGGTGCAAAAGAGGAGTGTTGCTGGTACGTTCAGAGTGATCCCTGCTTTTCAGGATGCTAAGAAAGGTTGCTTTGAATGCACTAAGTGTAGACTAAAACTGTTAATGAATGCTGCTATAGAAATTGAAGGATTTAGGGTCAAAAGTTGAGCATTCTTTAGCATTGTTTATTCATTGGTTATTTTTCAGTGGCCTGTGTAATTAATTCAGGGGCTTCAGGCCATTTTCTGATCTCATTGACACTTGTGTCAGTGCAGCTTAATGCTGCAGAATACAAATGGAGTTTACACTGCTGTTGCTAATTATAATAATCTGACTCTAAAAAAAGCTTAAATACCTGCAAGAGTAAAATAAAGCAAACAGAAATCTGCTCAGACTGCTGTTGGGCACGGTCAAAGCCCTGGCAATTTGCAATAGTATCCTTTGAATGAAAGCCCATTTTCCTGGAGTGTCTGCTGGGATACTGTTTCAACAGCATCTGTAGTGCCTTCTCTTCACGTGTTACCATTATAATCTCCTAAACCCGACCTTAAAATATCTGCTCCTTCACTGGTTCTTTGACTTAAACTTTGGTATCTGTCTTAAATTGGAAAAAAGTACCCAGTTATCTCTCTTGGTCCGTACCATTTTTTTAACCCCCAAAACTTCCACTGCCCCTCTTTGTCTCTGTCTCTTTCCCTTCTATCTAAAATTACTCATGGAAGTGTACGCCATTTCCCCCTCGATGGTGTATTGCATTTACTCTGTTTAGATTAAGTCTACTCTGTTTAGGTTTATTAATATTTTTAGGAAGGTCCTGATGAGGAATGGCTTCCTTTCTTCTAGACAACAATTTTAAGATTTTTTTTATTGTATACTGTCATGTAAACACTAGATGCATTTTTTGTCAGAAGATGTCATGTTTCATGTCTGTCTTGGGCTTCAACTGCAGGTATTCCAGAAAGAAGAAATTGAACCCTTGCAAGTAAAACAACAGGAGGTAAATTGGTTGGGTCAAGGCCTTATTCAGAGTGCTGCTAAAAGTACCAACACAGAAGACCTTGAACATGACCTTGAAGATGTCAACACCCGATGGAAGACTCTTAATAAGAAGGTTATTATTTTGTATACTATTCTGCTTTTGTTGTGTTCTGCCATTTGATTCTTTGCTTGCTGACGTCTTTTAAAATACAGGAAATTAAATATTCATGGAGGATATGAATTATATTTACACAGTCACTTTGTTCATAATTCTATGGATAAGGTATCACAAGTAGCCAGAGGTATTGCTGTCATTTATAAGGTTTTTTCAAACTTTCTCTAGGTCTGTCCTGGATTTTTATTCAGGAAAGACTCACAGAATGGTTGAGGTTGGAAGGGATCTCTGAAGATCATCTAGTCCAACTTTCAGTGTTTGTTCACGTTTCTTGGCTCTGTTGTGTGTGCTCAGGTACACTGTTGTACCTGCACAGAGCAGTGATACAGCCCAGCACTGTGTGACTGGTGGCTTGTTTCCTTTATAGCACCCTAAGGATTGTATTGCTTTAGACATCAGGAGGTGCCGCTGCTTTGGAAAACTGGCTGTAGTTGTTTTTCTGTGCTTTTTAAGAGTTTTCTTCCAGCAGTAGCTGCTGTTGGAAAATGGGAAGGGTGGGAGGTAGAAATGATGCTCATCTCACTCTACCCTCTCTTCCTGAAGGAGTGATGCAGCAGAAACACAGTTACCTGTGGCTCACCTATTTGCCTTCTTTCCTATTTTTAATTCCCATTGATGGCATTATTGTCCTTATTAAGAGTTGCTACTTTGGATTCCTGGCTCGTTCTTTCTATAAGGAAAATAAAGACCATCTGAAACACAAACATCCTGTCAGTATACTTCATAATACTGTAGCTATATAAAACAGGACTATCTTTAAGGAATTACTAGAGCAGGCTGATTTACTGGGAGATAACCTCTTCTTTTCATTGGATGTCTGCAAATCCAGGAGATTAGTGCTGAACTGTGACATAGTGTTGTTATGAATAATTACAAAAATGAGAGTATTAGTGATACTGACAGATGTTCTACAGATTTTGGCTAATCATTTCATAGAAATAAAAAGAATAGGTGAGATCCTCTGCTTTTTTTTAGGTTGCCCAGCGTGCTGCGCAATTGCAGGAAGCCCTCCTCCACTGTGGGAGATTTCAGGATGCCCTTGAATCTCTGCTTAGCTGGCTCATTGATACAGAAGATCTTGTGGCTAATCAGAAACCGCCATCTGCTGAATTCAAAGTTGTGAAGGCCCAAATACAAGAACAGAAAGTAAGTGAAACTGTTTCAGAGTATCTCTCCTTCTGCTGGATCAATGAGAATAAATTCCCAGTCTTTGGCAAAGCATAATATCTGTTCAAGTGTATTATAATACACTGGAGTGTGCTGAGGTTTTTAAAGGAGCCATCTGTTCAAAATTCAGGGCTTTGTCCAGGGTTGGGAGAAGTGCTCATCTTCTGGGGCATGAGATAAAGAGTAATGCTATGCAGTCTGACGTCTGGTTAGAATTATTAACATTATTTGGGAAGGATTGTTAAAGGTCCATTGGAAAAAGAGCAAGAATAAAATCCAATGTTTGGCCATTTGGAAGGTACGAAATAAAAACTAGTAAATTTTCATTGGAATACTTCTAAGATGATGTTGCAGATTATGGACTTAAATATTTGGCTCTTGGATCCTGATGTGACCGTTGTTGGTAATTACTTGAAACATGATTGGGAAATGACCTCTGCTAATGTGTAAGCACTATCATTGTCATCAGCTTTGGCAATTTTTAGTAATGGTTATAGAAAAAAGAATGCTAATGTAGCTGATAAAACAAACAGTTCATGCAGTTGGACTGTGTAGTCCACTGCCACACACAGATTTTATATAAAGTTATGGTCAGTACAGGTTGTCGTGTTGCAATATCTGCAGATGCAAAATGTTAATGTTACCAAAGGCAAGTACAGAATGGAGGAAGAGAGGATTGTAGAGAGAGGTCTGTTTTATTCTTCCTGAAGGAATTGATTTATCGGACTAGATTAGTGAACTCAATTGTATCTCAAACAAGTGATGAGTCGATTATACAATAGTTTTTATATCTATTTTGCTTTCTCTGTATGTATCAGAATTACCTTTGTGATGCCAAATCTAGAAGGGCATGTAGCTTTCTTATAAATGTTCCTATAAAATGTAACAGATATTCTAAATAGCTTGTTTCCCTCAAGGGTGTTAAGTAGAACTTTTTCCTCTGTATATTCCTTCTTTGGGCTGCCACACATCTTCACCCCAGAGAAATCAGGGATGTTGTTTGGGCTTTGTGAAACTGCTGTTCTTAGGAAAACTACTGAGAAACTAAAATGAGCCTGTTTTGGGGGAGACAAAGGGGTTGTAGCATGTGTGTGTCTCTTGGATCAGCATTGTTCACACTTTTATCACAATATAGGCATTGTGGTTTGGTTGTTGGGTTGTTTTTTTTGTTTGTTCGTTTTTTGGGGTTCTTTTTTGGTCTTTAGCAGATTTTCAGGAAGTCTACTGTTTTTACATTTGCATTATTGCGATGTTTCTTAATAACCTAGTTCTTGATTGCTTTCTCTGCAGCTTCTCCAGAGGCTGCTGGATGACCGCAAGCCTACTGTTGAGGCAATCAAGCGTGAAGGGGAGAAAATTGCTGAGTCAGCAGAGCCTGCTGATAGAGTGAAAATCTTAAAACAGCTGAGTTTCCTGGATAGTCGGTGGGATGCATTGCTCAGTAAAGCGGAAACAAGGTATTTGAAATTCTTTTATGGATTAGAAAAATGTAGACATAGCATAGATGTTTAGAAGCAGCATGTGGAACTCTATAGTGTGAGTTCTGTATAGTGTGAAGTAGTATCTTTCTTTTTATTGCATTATAGTGTCGTGATATTAATATAATGAGGAAAAAGGGGAGAGAAGTGACTTGAACAGACCAGAAGCTTGTAAAGAAAGTTTAGTCTAAGATGCAACAATCTGCTAGAATTAACTGCATATGTATCTTCTGAACATTTTATCTCTGTTAATGAATTAGAATGCAAGTTTCTTGATGCAAGAACCACTTCTGCAGTAGAATTAAGTGCAAATTTTACACCTAACAAATAATAACGATATGCCCTTGGAACTTCAGAATCCTGACTTGCTGCTACAAAGAGGGAACACTCAATTCTTCCCTTTTTCTGTTTGATGTCATCTATATAATTGGATTCTGCAACTTACAGATCCTCATACTGTCAGTTGCTGATGTATGCAAGGTGCTGGGGTTCCCTTAGTTTTCAAGAAGAAAAAGGACCATTAAAGCATATAGAGATATTCTAGCAGCACAGAAAACACTGTCTCTTAAAAGACATTGCAGACCAATTCAAGTTCCTATTAAAAAAAAGAAAACAAAAACATACACACAGTATCTGTGTATACAAAGACTTTCATTTATGAGTTGTTGTCAATATATAAAATACCTGTAAAGTTATGAACTGTAAAGTGTCTTTGAAGAAGTCTGTGCTAAAAAGGATACTGAACATGTTTTCTGGATAGGGATTTGATAAGGACAGCCTTGTTCAGAGTAGAGAAAAGAAGAGTGTGCACAAGAAGTAGCCTGAAAAAGATGTATAATTGAGAAAAGAAAGGGCTTGGAAAGCTGAAGAAAATGAATTAAAGTGAACAGTGAGGCTTTAAAATGAAGAACAAATGGTTGTGTTGGTGCTTAGAGAAGCACTGAACCCACTTCTGTCTCCTATTCCTTCTGGTAGCCTCTCTTTAGTTGAACATATTTTGTTACCTCATACTAATAATATCATTACTTAATTAGTCAACCACTAATTCACCATTATTTCCTTCTTTCTTTTTTATTTTATTGAAGGAATCTGACTCATTAGCTGGGGTAATTGTTAATGTCATGTTTAATTTAATATTATCCTCCCAGTCTGGTAATATTTAATTACAAATGAAATTGCAATTTTTTCAAAGCCATCTATTATTACCTTGTCTCCATTTTTCTTTGGCTGGTCTCTAGAAGTGAAGAGGGGATTTGAGGATGATTTTGAAGACTACATAGAATACTTCACAGAGTGTTCCATGGCTAAGTCTGTCAAGTCTACCTTGTTTATAAGCCTTGGAAAGCACATATAAACATAGCTTTTATCTGGAATGAGATCCTCATTTGAAAGACAGTATTGTGATGTCATTCATCTCCTATAAGTCTGCTTGCATGACATTTGTTCAGCACTGATAATAGAGAAGACTCTCCTCTAATCAAGAGTCTCCTCTGAGATGTAATAATATGAATGAGAAGAGTTTTAGATACTGCTTTTCTATTTTGGAGGTCAAGTCTCTGTGCTTTATTAATGTTGTTTCACTAACTTCATTGAGAGCTTTTATCCAGAACAAGAGAAGCAAAAGTAGAGCTGAATAGTTCTGTTCACATCACTGAACAAATGTTAAAAGATATTTTACAATGCTGAGGAAGCATGACAGTATGTTCTGGTTCAGTAAAGGCTTTGCCTAACTTTAAAATGTGCATAATAGTCAAGGGAATGTAACTTTATGCTTTAAGACAGCTAGAAACTTGAGAATTATCCTAATTGAGTATTAAACAATGTTCTGCTGAATGGAGTGCTAGATTATTTGTAGCAAAAACTGTATTAATAAAGTTATTTTTATTAGCAAAACTGGTATAGTGGCTAAAAGAGTTTCAAGAGCCCTCAGAGGTGTTTGTTTGGTTTGGTTTGGTTTTTGATTTGATTTGATTTTTACTGCTTTTCATTAAGTATCATGGGCATATTTCTGTTTCATTTGGTGACTGGTTCCTACAATGGGACTGAATTATTTCTGGGTTTTTTTGCAAATTATTTGAGGGACTTTTTTTTTTTTTTTTTAAACTGTTTCAAACTTGCTTCATACAAAAAATGACCATTCCCTTGGCATGTTGATAGGAACCGTCAGCTGGAAGGCATCTCGGTGGTAGCGCAGCAGTTCCACGAAGCTCTGGAACCACTGGTGGAGTGGCTGAGTGCCACAGAGAAGAGGCTTGCAAATGCAGAACCCATTGGAACGCAGGCCTCCAAGCTGCAGCAGCAAATTGCTCAGCATAAAGTAAGATACAGAATACTCAGTTGCTTTTGTCGTTCTTTTTAATGCTTCTATTAAGCACAACTGTCAAAACTGTTCCAGAATACCTATGTTTTACCATACTGGGTTTTGTTTGGTTTGGTTTTTTTTCCCTGTAATTTCAGTTTTATATGTTTATGTTGGCAATATGTCCTTTTTCTTTCACTTTTTATTGAGTTCCACTTACATTTCTTTTACATTTTTCTGATTTTGTTTTCCATTATTCTTCATTATTTGAAATAACATATAGGCTCTAGAAGATGATGTCCTAGCTCACAATAAGAGTTTACATCAGGCCATTAGTGCTGGTCAGTCTCTAAAGACTATGAGCTCCAGGGAAGATAAAGATATGGTGCAGGAAAAACTAGATTCTTCTCAGGCACGATTCATTGAAATTCAAGAGAAGAGCAACAGCAGGTCTGAACTTCTCCAGCAAGCTTACAGCAATGCTCAGATTTTTGGGGAGGACGAAGTTGAATTGATGAACTGGCTGAATGAAATCCATGATAAACTGAACAGATTGTCAGTCCAAGATTGCAGCACAGAATTGCTTGAGAAACAGCACTCTGAACTACTGGTATTTTGATTTCTGTTCATTTATTATTTCATTAATTTTAAAATTTTATTTATATTCCTCATACTTCATTTATTTTCATTAATTTATTGGGTTTAAAATGTCAATATCCTTATTCCAAAAAAGAATGTTTTGCTATGTCTGTGCTAACACAAATGGCCTTTTGTCTTAGGATCTTCAGGAAGAGATTCTTCTTAGAAAACAAAATGTTGATTTGGCTATACAAAATGGCTTAGAGCTTCTCAAGCAAACAACAGGTGAGAACTTACAGAAAACTATGGTTTGTCATACTTTTTTTCCTTGTACTTGCAGGTGCTTAAGAGAAAATCAAAGTGAAACTTGGAAATATTGTTCGTATTTGCTGGTTAAAGCAATTATAGTTGTTTATTTTAATAAAGGTTTGAGGTCAAGCTAAGTCATGTTTTGGGGCCAATTTTACTGTTAATGTAAGTGAGCAAAAGTCCTTTTCTGCCTGTAGAGAATTTTGCCATTGAATCCTTTGATTATTTTTAGTGGAAAATTATTCTAGTGAACCTGCATTCCATTCATAATAGCACGCTATGGGCATTACTCATAATGGAAGGCTGTTTGGCAGTGGATGCAGTCAATTCCCTGCAGGCATCCACAGATGAACGAGATATTAAACTACCTTTTAGTGCAAGAGGGAAGCTTCGTCCGCTGGAGCTCATACTGTGGGAAAAGTTGCATTCCAGTTCTGTACAACGTGTCAGTTTGTAGATTGACATCTTTCCAGATTTTCCAGTACTTCTAAAGTTCTTGAACCCTTTGAGATATACATATGTTCGGGGGGTTGGTGTTATCCTTTTATGTTCCAAACTTAGACATTATGCATATTCTATAATCTGAACATAGGATGATAAATTTCAATACACTGTTTTTTCTTTTAGCCTTTTGAGCTGGGCTTCAAATGGACAGTAAGGAGAGTGTATGGTGATGTCAAATATTACTGAAATTGAGAGTCTAGTTGATTTTTTGTTCTTCGCATTTTCAATACCACTTTAATAAGGTTTTTTGGCTTTTATAAGAAGTATTGTGAATTTAAGGGGGAATTTTTTTAACGAACATTTGTTTTAAATATTTGGTCTAACTCCTTACTTTCTAGTAGTTTAGTAAAGCAGAAAAAAGACAGAATGACAGATTCTGAGCTGAGGTAAACTTTGTAGCTCTATGGACTTTAGTGATGGTAGGGTAATTTAAAAGAGTTGAGGATCAACCTTGTGTTATTTGGGTTATTTTATAAGTTAAATACTGAGAGTTTTGTAATATATGGGGTTTGGGATTTGGTGCCTTTTTTTTTTTTTTTAATCTGTTTGTTTGTTTGGCTGTTTGGTTTTTTTTCTTTTTAGTATTTGTGATCGTGGGAAATAACATCCCTCTGATATTTTAGGTGATGAAGTGGTCATTGTTCAAGATAAGCTGGAAGGCATTAAAGCAAGATATAAAGATATTATGAAATTGAGTTCTGATGTATCCAAGACTTTGGAGCAGGCTCTGCTGCTTGCAGGTCAACTGCACTCAACTCACGAGCAACTCTGCAAATGGCTTGATGAAGTAGAGGTGGAGTTACTCTCCTATGAAACTCAAATACCTAAGGGTGAAGAATTAAGCCAAGTACAAGAAAGACAAAAAGTAGGTTTTGGAATCTGTGAAATATTTATTACTCTGTGATTCAACAAGGTTATGTGTTAACTTATGTTTGACATAAAGTTGTTTTTTGAATAACTAATTATTTTATCAGATCATCTGACAAAATGCTGCAGTAGTTAAGAATCAAACTCCCTTTCCAGAGTCATCTGTTATAATCACTTAAGAAATTGGACTGAGACTTATTTTTAGCACAAGAGAAGCACAACATTTCTGGTTTTTTTTCAAGGAGCTGCCTAATACTGGGATAACTTTGACAGCTTATGAGTTATTTTGGTTCTTTAGCTGTGGCATGGATAAAATCCTGTAAAGTATAAAAAAGTCAGCATTTTAAATATATTAGTAATTTTGTTAAACTAGATTTGTTGAAAAAGAAAAAAATGTAATATAAGCTGCATGGTCTGGAAAATGAGGGGGGAGCTTAAAAATCCAATAAATGTCTTTATATACATATATATATATGAAACAAAACCACACTGGTGAGTGTTCTGTACAGGTAAAGACTCATTCCTTTGTGTTCATATGTTTTTGGAATTTGATCCAGTCATTGTTCATGTAAGAAATCACTTGAATTCATCATATTTTGCTATAGTGCATGTTGATTTCACTTGCTGGTGATTTACTTCCTTATGTAGTTGCAGTTTTCAGCCATCCATTGGTTTTGCTTTCTTTGGTTGCTTCATAAAGTACTAACAACTCTTACAAAATTACAAAGAATTTTATACAGTCATATTGACTGGACAAATACATTTGGATAGATTCTGTTGAAAATTCTCTTTAAGAATCACCCACCTTTCTGTCAAACAACTTACAGTATCAAAAAGCTAATACAGCTCAGCTCAAAGTAAGTATGGTAATTTATCCCTTCGGTTTGTATGGAAAACATTTCAATTCTTGACTCATGGAGTAGTTGATAGAATGAAAATTGTGCAAACTGTATATTCTATTCATATACTGCCATGTTTAAAAGGTTTAATTGTTTTAAATGGCCTTTTTCAGGAGCTGAAAAAAGAAGCAAAGAACAACAAAGGCTTACTGGACACTCTGAATGAAGTTGGCAGTGCCTTCCTGGAACTGGTGCCGTGGAGGGCCAGAGAGGGGCTTGACAAGATGATAACGGAGGACAACGAACGTTACAGATTAGTGAGCGACACAATCTCTCAGAAGGTGGATGAGATTGATGCTGCCATCCTGAGATCCCAGCAGGTACTGAAAACTGTTCTTTGGGCTGTAACAGTCTCTGGCCATGTGTACCTGAACGAAAGATGTCCTTTAATAATGTTGCCAAAACTTGTTATACTTGAGCAGCAAAATGCCCATTTGAATGAAACGGGACTCCATTGTTAAGATACAAATACCAGAACTCTGTCAATATGTACACTGTTGTACTTGTCTGCCTCTTTGTTGATGAAAACATCAGTATTTTAGCTAAAATTTCTGTAACTATCTTGTGGCTCCTTAAGTAGGATTTTGTTTAATTAAGAACTGAATGGCCCATGTCCTTTGTAAATCATGTTGTGTTAAGTAAAATATGGTCCAGATCCTGAGCCAACTTTAGTGGATGCAACACTGGTATCTCTAGGCTTGCCACACCTTTTAGCATCATCAGATTGTCTAGCTCCTCTGCACTTTACACAGTTAAAAGCTGGATGATCTTATTCAAGCTGGAATGGAGGATTTAAATAACAATTGCTTTTATTCCTATCTACAGTGCTTTTCTTCTTGGGGCTCAAAAACTGAGTTATTTAATATGTGGAGGTTTCTTGCTTTGAGAACTGAGATCTAATTTCATCACTAAGTAGTCTCATATTTAAGCTTGCTTATAAATGTATTGTGGAAACCCAGTTTTCCAGTGTCTGCCTACAGTACAGGCATAAAAATATTGGTGGAGATTTCTATTTCTGTTAATAGTTCCCATAAACAGTTTTAACAGGACAAGGAGAAAGCATGTGTGATACTCTCAAAGTTTGCTGAAAGCCAACTAAAAGACACTGGCAGTAGTTCAGGTTTTCTTCGAACTGAGGTTAAAAATAACTTCTTGTTTCTTTTTAAGGGATTTGCTATGAATATTATCTTGTCTCATTAACCAAATCCTCAAAAATGAAGGGTGATTTTTTTTTTTTTGAGTGAGTGATAAGGGTGAGATAGGAGAGTATATTTTGGCTCTCCTTCAGATTTTTTGAATTCCATGAGAGTGTAGCATCCTCTAACACAAGTTCAGCAATTTCAGGTCCAGGCATGAAAAGAGCTGCTATTCCACTAGCTAATGTTGCAAGGGCACATTGCACCCTCATCCTGCATACCCCTGACTTCCACTTCAGCCAGCTCACATCACCACAATAAACTCCTCTACACTGTGTGCTGTGATAAGTATCAGGTGGCTTAATGTGCTTCCTGTGAAGGATAAGCTACTTTCCATTTAGACCATGCAAAATAAAAAACATTTTTGGAGAAGCTGGTGTTTTTGGAAGATTGCCCTGTGGCAACTTGCTCAAGTGCCTATACTGTTAAGAAGTTTTGAGTGAAGGACAAAGCTGCTAAGAGCACGAGGGTTTAATAGGAGTAGTGTGGGGTTTGTGCTAGATGTTACTGGCCCAAGGTGAGAAATTTGGTAATCTGTGTGGATGAGTAATAGTGCTTCATGTTGTGCATGGAAGCTGGAAGGCTTAAAGAACTCATGCAATATCCTGGGTTTTAACTACCTGACCAAAATGCTCCCAGATGGGTAGATTCATCTTAGACAGAAATTTAGCTGCATGGTTTAATCCTCATTTCTCAATACTGAAAGCATTGGTTGGGGTCCCCTAGTGAAGGAGTGCTATGTAGAAACACAAGGTCATGTTCTACTTTTGGCTTACTTGTTCTTCACTCTAAATCAGCCGTAGAGAGTGCTTTAGAAAGCATTCATGGAGCAAATCACAGCATCATCACATTCAGAAGTCAGTCATTCCTGGTTGGAAGAAAAAGTACCACAATGAACTATGCTTGGTTAAACTGGATGGGATTAAGTAAATCATGTTATAGTAACTGAAGGGCTCATAAGTTACTGTCATGCATAATGGGAAGAAAACATTTTGAATTTTGGATTCAGAAAGTACCATTTTTATGCTTTTTATTCCTTAATGTTGTTTTTAAGCATTACAAATTACCCTTAGCAAACTGAGTTTAGAGTTCTGTGCCTTCTTGGTGCTACTTAACCTAGAAGTTTCACTGTCATGCCTTGACTTTGTTATTTCCACTAAATATTTTTCAATATTACTTATTTATTGTTTCGATTTACCTTCTCTATTTATGTCATAAATAGATGGGCTTCTAAAAAGCTTGGTTGTGAACTGCAGTTTCTAAAACCAGCCTTTAACTACTACTCGTGCAAGTGCTTCATGCTGGTGTTTATAGTACTGATTGTTACAGAACATACATATATTAGGAAGTCACAATAGTTAGGATAAAACTTACTTTCTCTTACTTTAAATGAGAAATGACGTATAGTGAAAAAGAATGTTGTGCTCTTTCATTTAACAAATGGATTATAAAGGCTGAAAAAGATTGACTCATGAAGAATGAAATCTCAGAACTGCTTTTTTTGGTTTTGTGGAACTCATGTTTAACCAACTAAGACAAGCCTGATTTAGTGATTGAAGTGAACTCCAGCTATGTTAAGGAGCAGGGCTGTCATAGTCAACACCATAAAGGTGCAGACCAGCATATTTCAAGACAAGTGCGACTGAGAGTGTTCAGAAAGAGACTTCTGAGGAAAGTGTGGGTATCAATAAACACAGGGAGCAGCTTCTGACCTAAAAAACCTGCCCTGGTTGAGCTTCAACATGTGTATGCTAAGATGCATGCCTATAAACTTGATCTGAAGAGAGAATGCATGATGGCTTTTTTTAATTTGGTCTTAGATTTCAGAAGACTTACATCCCCACATGCTCCTTTTCATGTTCTTCTTTGTCAGTTAGTAAGAAACAGGTCCTTTATGTCCTCTGATTATGTTAGTGCTTTGAGGTAATTTCTGAAACATTTAAATGTTGACTAATTGTAGTCAGAAATTAATTGTTTAGGAGCAGGATGGACTGCACCTAAATAGTCAAAAAAAATTTTGCATTTAATCTGAGGTCGAGTTTTGGATGAAGTCCTGCCTTTTCTGAATTCAGTGAGGTTTTTGCCCTGACTTAGTTGAACTGGGATTATTTTGCCTTGATAATTTAATACCAAAGCAGCTCTTCAGATTAAAAGGGTATCATCAAACATCTGTGTCTCAGGATAATTGCAACACTAGCAATAATAATTAACAAAGAGATGGAAAAGACATGTGAAAGTAGAATAAAATTAAGATAAACAGTCTAGTTAAAATTCTGAGATTATAACCCTTTTTCATTTTCTTATGACTCTTAGAGAGCTGTAGGCTTTTAAAAAAAAGTATTTGCTTCTGTTGCTTTGTCATTCTTACGAATTAAGCTGCTTGTATTACAATCCCTCAGAACCATTTGGGCTTTATATTTCATTATATAAAACCCTCAAATGTAAAGTGAGCCACTATCTTTCTAACAATTCAAAAGTATACTCCTCAGTCTTCTTTAAAATTTTTGAAACAGTTATTCTAATTTCATGTCTATAGAACTGCTGAACTAATTCATGTCTCCCTCGTTTAGTTTGATCAAGCAGCTGATGCTGAATTTGCCTGGATTGCAGAAACAGAAAAGAAACTGATGTCTCTGGGTGATATTAGACTTGAGCAAGACCAGACCACAGCTCAGCTGCAAGTTCAAAAGGTAAAAGAAATGCGTTTCCAACTGTCATGTTAATTATTGGCCGGCACACTCTCCATCTAGAAAATGTACTGGCATGATTTAATTTTCAGTCTATCATAATTAATGAACTTCAAAACCCAGTTTTTACTCCATATACTTTTTTTTTTTTTATTCTAACCATTTTTTCTTGTGTTTCAAGGCTTTTACCATGGAGATTTTAAGGCACAAAGATACCATAGATGAACTTGTTAAATCTGGGGATAAGATTATGAAAACATGCACTGAAGAAGAGAAACAGATGATAAAGGTAAAATTCCTTAAATTGCAGCTACAGTGGTAGATATGCAGGCAGCATATAAGTAGAAGTATTTGTATAGTGTCTTGTTTGAAATACTAATGAGAAAGCATTAATTACAATCACTTCTAGTCAGAGGATTGTAGTACTAGAAAAAATGCCTCTGTGTATCCCTCTCCTTCCTTCAGGGTGTTCAAAGAGCAAACACTGTGTACTTGCTTCATTGCCTGACACTAATTTGGAGCCCCATTTATCATCTCCATCTGTGGTAAATAGTATTTTAGCCTATAGATGATTGAGTGAAGAGATATTAGTCATCTGGGATGGTGTGTGGAATCTGGCTGTTTATCTTCCAAGTTCTTTTGAGTCAGTGACGCTCTGGCGTGTGCATTTCTGTGCTGGATTCCATGGCTGTGCACCTCAGTGTGAATCTTTACTTTCATTTCTGCTGATTTCCGTATGGGCCTTGCTTGCCAAGATTATTCTATCCTGTTGACTGTCAGAGCCTGTGAAAGGCATTCTTATGCCTTTGTTTATTACACACACACACACACACACACACACACACACACACACAGAGCCTGATGTTGGGGTTGCAAACATGTACAGATGGATTTTTTGTGTTGGCTGTTGGCTTTAAGAAGGATTAGTTGTGTAGTTGGGATTTTTTTGCTAAACTATGGTGAGGCTGAATATGTTGTGTAAATTTAGTCCTTTCAATGACCACCCTCCTTGAACAGCAGTGCTTCAGTAATTGTGCTCTGCTGCAAGGACTCTGAATAAATTTGATTTGCTCCTAAGTGAATTTAAAATAGATGAGAAGTCCTGTCTTCAAAACTGTAGTCATAAGGGAGAGCAGTTTTGTGTGAGTCTCTATTAAATAGTTTTATATGTCAAAAATACTGTATATCTGTGTATTAGACTATGTTTTGTCCTCTGGATAGCATCTTTTTACTTAATTTATGTGCAAGACATAACAAAGGAAAGGATAGCTTGTTCTGCCAAAAAAAAAAATCTTTACTTCACATTCAAAGGCTTGCTTATATGTCTAGTTTTTTCAAGGCTAGGATTTATATGCATTGTCATATATAATATTTCATAAACTTGATAACATGGGCAGTCTTCCACAGGAAAAATGTATGGCTAATTGATACTTTCTTTTATTATCACATGCCCAAATACAGTAGATTTGTAATGTTTAAAGCTTATAGTTCTGTTATCTGTGTTATTAATGTTAATACATTCTCATTAAGTAATATATGCTAACATGGAAAATAATGTTTTATGGTTGCTTTTGTAAGTTTGTGGAACTACAGGCACAACAATATAAACTATTCTCTTGCCAGATTAAAAAAAGAGCCCCAAACCCAACAGCCCAACAGATTTTGTGTATTGTTCATGCTTTGATTCAGAAATGCTGCGGAAAACTTAATTTCTGCCAAGTGTCACTGAAGATAAGCATCTGCAGTAAGGAATTGGGGCTAAGATCTGCAGTCAGGTCATTTGCAGCTTGACTGGAAGCCCTATGAGTAAAGTGTTATTTGTAAATACCAATATCATTAAACATATCCTAAATACTTTGCAAGTACTCTGCCAGATTCTGATCTGCCCCATTATTGATTCTGTCTACTTTAAACACCAATACTGTAAAAACATTATCAAAACTAAAATTTGGTGCACTGTGAATTGGTGCTGTAGTTATCAAAGACTGTTTAGAAATTAAGGTTAACAGACATATGGAAAAACATACATTGGGGTTTTTTATTAATATTACTTTACAGAAAAAAATGGAGAGCCTCTTACAGAAATATGATGCAGTCTGTCAAATGAACTCAGAGAGAAACCTTCAGCTGGAACGGGCTCAGTCCCTGGTTAACCAGTTCTGGGAGACTTATGAAGAGCTTTGGCCATGGTTAACTGAAACAGAAATGATCATCTCTCAGCTCCCTGCGCCAGCCCTTGAATATGAAACTTTAAAGCAACAACAAGAAGAACACAGGGTAAGTATTTTGCCAGCTTTGAAAAATGAAGTGTCAAACCCCAGGAAGTATTTTGCTGAAACTGTGGAGTGCTCTGCAAAATGCTTAAAACCCAAACAGATATTTTTATGTTGAAAAGAACCTATTATTTAAAATAATAATAAAAAGTAAATATATTTTCCGTCATTACTGTTTACCAAACTCTGCATGCAAACTAGAGTCTCTGGAGAAGGCAGAAAATTATGTATAAGCATAAAAGAAGGCTCAAGGAGAAAAAAAATCTACCATTGTACTGAGAAAACCGAGCACATAAAAGTTGTTAGTTAAGAAGTATATTTAAAAGTACACATTAATGTCAGTATTGGAACCAACCAAACCCATAAACAGAAAGAACAGGCATGGTTGTTAGAGCAAGAAACAAAAAAAAAAAAAAAAGGGTACATTCTGTATACAGATATGCACATCTGTTGATCTTATGTACATATAAAAAAATTAGCTATTATTTTGTTCATAACATTGAAACTAAACTTACCTGAGTCAGGAAGATGGACAATTAGAGAGCCAAAAATTGCTTGCTTGGATGCAGCCAAATAATTTCTCATGTCAAGAATGTTTGTTATGTACTAATTAAAACAAATAATTGTTTACCATAACATCACAAAATAGAGGCAACATTGTTATAGACCGGCCACTCTGTGGGCTCTCTTACATGGATATATAATCAGCTGGGATAAAAATTAGTATATTTCAACAGTGGCTACTACTATCACATAGAATTAGATACATCCCACTGAGGTTAAAATCCTGCATGTTTTGGCAGATGCAAAACCTGTATGGCCACTGGAGATACCTGTCTCTCCCTGCTAGCATAAGTTTGTTTTTTCTTTTTATTTTAGATGCCTTAATTAAGTGACTCAAGTTAGATAGGATGAACCCTGGCTTCAGAGTCTTGTTTACTCTGAGACCAGCTAATGAAATGTGCCACTCTTATGTACTGGTAAACACTGGGTTCACTCATTTGTCTTCCTATTATGTCCAGAATGAACAAACAAGTTCTGTTAAGACTAGCTATATAACATGAGCTTTACAAACTATCTTGATTAGTCAACGTGAACCATATCATGCTTGCTTTACTTACAGGATTGTTCCTTGTCTACTTTAATCATGCTGCTTCCATGAGAGGCCGTCTAGATGAGCTTCTATTTTAGCATTTTCCCCGGGCTATGCCATTAGCTGAGATTTGTTTGTTAACTAGAAGATTAATGTTAGGCACTCTTAACACGTAATCTGCTCCTAAACACTTGTTTACTGGAATTGTTTACCCAGTAGTAGACCCAGAGAAGACTAAACCATTCATTGTTCTGTTAAAAAGAAGAAGAAGGGAAAAAGGTTGTTTTCAGTGTGAATTGACAACATTTCTGTTCTGATGTGTTTACTGATGTCTATCTTTGTTCCAAGTTGTGGAATTCATACAGTTGATTCTGTGCTAGTAACATGCAGTCAGTTTGGTTTGAAATGAGCTGTGGGCAGAGTATTAGCACAAGGTTTGGACCATAGCTCCGGTGGCCTTGTGTCAAATCATCTCTGTGCTCAAAGGTAAAACACACAAAATTATTTTCTAAAAACTTTAAAGCTGTTCTTACTTTCTCCTTTTCCTCTTCTCTGCTAATCAGTGTTATTTTTCTTGTGGCAAAGTATACAAGTAGAGTTACATTCAAAGTAAGTCGTTAGAATCAAGGCGGGGGGGGGTTGTATTTTCGTTGCTGTTTGGTCATTGTGGGACTGAAGAGTCATGGTCACTGTCTTTTCAGTGTTCTCAACCTCTGCTCTTCTGGGGAGGAGCAAGGAAGCAAGCCAGTATCACGATTTCTTTTTAAGGGAAGGACTGTAGTTGAAGAGAAGGGAATTTATTTACACTGAGACTGATATAGTCTTTTCTGTGTCTTCATTAATTTAAACAAACTCTCAGCTGGGAGGAACAGCGCACGTGCCTCTCATGTCCTTGCACAGGGGCTATAGGATAGAATTCATGAAGTTCACGGCACTGAGGGAGACAGTGCCTCGCAGGACAGTGGATTTTTCTGAAAAGGGAGGTAAAATATGAGAAAGTAAATAAAATAAGGGAAGGATAGGGCTACTCGCACAAGAAAAACCCTTTCCCTTTTGTCAGTTCTATGGGCACAAGGAAGAAAATCTGAACTCCTTAAACAAATTGGAAAACACATTGTGACATTTCACTTCCACAAGCCTCTGCTCAGTCTTTGGCACAGTTTTGACTTCAGAGGTGGATGATGAGAGGCAGTAGACAGTTGAGGTCAAATTTAATTCACTTACTAATTACTTGTTAAACATTGTGTCAGTTGAATAATAGTGCTGTTATGAAGACAGGAGGGGTCTTGTGGCCAGAGACTGCTAAACTAGGTTGATAAGTCTCTACTGATCACCCTTCCATGTCCTTTTGTCCTTTCACTGATTGCTTTGACCCTCCCTTGTGCTGGGTTTCCTTTTCTTTAATCAAGGATAATCTGAATTAATTTTCTTGCAATGCCAGTACCTCTTTCTGTGATGTTCCTCAATGAAAGGCTTTGCAGCAAGTGACCAGTATCAACATGAAAAGTATACATTTGGTGGTGTTACGCCCATGTCTGGAATATTGTTGCCATTTCTGTTATTATAGGTACTAAATATGACGGGGAATGTCTGTTGTTAGGATCGTATGCATAGTTAGCATCTTATATTTCACCCATAATCATATGTCCTACCTGAGAGTTGCACAGGCATTTCCAGTGTGTCTCTAATTCTGATGTTTTATGCCCGGGTAGCTCTCTGTTGGAATGGGAACAATCACTGGCAGAGCAGTCATTAACTTTATTTCTGCTTTACATTAGGATGAAGGGTATTTGTTTAGAATTTCTTGCCAGCTGGATGTGTTGGAAGTGTGGACAGTTGTAATGTGGTGGTGCAAGCATAAGAAACTGATAAGTCGTTTCATTTGTTACAGCAACTGCGTGAGCTGATTGCTGAGCACAAGCCTCATATAGATAAGATGAACAAGACTGGGCCTCAGTTGCTGGAGCTGAGCCCAGGAGAAGGTTTTTCTATCCAAGAGAAATATGTGGCAGCTGACATCCTTTACAGTAAAATCAAGGAAGATGTCAAAAAGCGAGCACTGGCACTGGATGAAGCCATTTCTCAGTGTACCCAGGTATCAGTTTAAGTTTAAAATATAATTGGGTTCATTCAATGGAAAAATACACATTGTCATCTTGTATGTATATATCAAGACTAAACTGCTGTTTCACCTGGATTTTTCAACCTAATGGCCTGCGAATGTTCATATCTCGGCTAATGACATTGATTTTTCTATTTCTTGAGAGGTTATAATTTTATATATTGGTCAGTATTATCACTTTGTAGCAATTGAAAAATGTTATTGCTACTTAATTTTGAAGTAAAAAATCAAGTAGTCTAAAAATGTGGGATTTTATTTTCACTTTTGTTTTCTCTTACTGATCTCTTAGCAGCTGATGCTTCATTTGTAAATGAATGTCACTTTTAATCAGTTAATTTGAATGTAGTTATTTCTAGAAATTGGCAGCTGAAGTTACCAGAGAGCTACCAATGGAACTAGAGGGTAGTTTAGCAGTGTTATAGCATTTGCTCTTCGCTGCAGACCTACAAGAACTTAATGTAACATATACGGAAACTGTTAGTTAAAAGTACTATGAGCAAAGTTATACTTCAAAAAACATCATCAGCATAAAATTCAGGTCAAGTCCACAAATGCAGCATCTTCATTTCAAAGCTTCACTAGCCTATGAAATGAACCTAAATGGAGGATTGTCAGGTGTCACATTCTAGCAACTGTTAAATATTGGGTTAATTGCCATTAAACCCACACTGAACTTCATTTACTCAACCCCAAATTCAGAAAAGAACTTGGTAAAACTTTGTACATAAACCCATACAAAAATCCTAATAAAAATACTTTGTTCTATACTGGTGTTTTTATAGGAAATTCCCCTTTTTTTTTCTGTTCACTGGAAATTAAGTGCTATATTCTGTTAAGGTCTTAAATACTAAATGAAGAAATACACCTTGAAGTGCTTATCAAGTCTCCATTCTAAATAATTTTTGTCAAGTTGTTATACTTAATGTCATATTCCTAGCCTCTGGAGACTGAGTTTAAGAATGTGAGGCAAAAAGAAGTGACATCAGATGTCATCTTGCTTTTGAACTGTTTTTATATATATATAACATATATGTATATATAAAATGTATATACATTTTTAGCAACCCTTATTCACACCTATGAAAGATGCCTAATTATTGAGATCCTGTGTTTTTCCATGGTCCTTCCCATATTTGGAGCTGCCCATTTAAAAATCAAGATATTTACTTAGTATTCGAGTCTCTGTTTTGTATGTGATAGACATCAACATGTTGTACTGGCTAAGTACAGAAAGAAAGAATTAGAAATGCATTCTTTGGTAACACCTAGAATATAATCAGGTGTTGAGAAAATACTTAATTATTTATGCAATACTTTATGTTTCATTTTATATACCTAAATGTATATGCAGATGGCAAAGCAAAACATTGTAATGTCCACAGAATCTAATTACATGTAATCTTCTTTTTTTATTAAGATACATAAATATATATTATCACAGCTCTGTACTATGATGTCTGTGTCACTGTTTGTCTAGACATTCCTTGAAAAATAATTATTTAACTCTTCATGTTTTAAATTATATTAAATTGCATTATGTATCAAAGGAAGGGCACAACATATTGAGGCAGGATGAGAGGGTGTCATTTACTTGCATTTTATTCCTTTTAAGTTCTAAAACACTGTCTCATTCTTTGAGGTTGAGTACAAGAAGGGCCACTGAATGCACTGACAAATTAAAAATGTAATATATGTCCTAAAATTAGACCTAGATATTACCAATTTAATTTAAATTTTTGTAATTTTTGTAAGGTTTTGTTGCCACAATCAGTTTTTCAGAAGTCTTGAATGTGAGAAGGCTACTTATCTTTCATAATACTTTTTGCTGGCTTGTATGGCATTCACACTTCTAACAAAAACACTGAGTGCCACAACATTAGTCACAGAGTCTGATTTGAAGTGGATTGTATGGTGGGGAAAAAGTAATTACATTTATATTGCTTCTGTTCCTTTGAATAGAAGGGATGTAGCTATTTGTTCACATAAGGTAATCTTGTTTTGCTGTGCTCTTTCTAGCACTGTTCCCAAGTGTTGCTGGGAGTGCTTTTTGTAGATCCTGGAGGGTCATTAAATGCACCCAGGATTTATGGATTTCTTTAATTCAAAAAGGGGCATGGTGGTGAGAGATTTTTAGGAATCTATGTGAATCCAAAGGCATACAGTAAAGGCTAACTTTGGATCTGTGCCAAAGGATGAACCATGTTAACACAGCTGTAATTCAATTTGTAAGCACCTACCTGAGCTCAGCCAAACATGGATAACTATACTATATACATTATTGTGTGCTTTTAGTTGCAGACTGTAACGTACCTTTACTGCGTGGGCAAACACCACCTGGCCACTAAGAAATGTCTTTTTGAATGACCTCACATATCAAGCCCTAATCAGTGGTTATTTAACAGTATGTTGGTTGTAACAGGAAAATGTATGTATGTATGTAATTGTAAGGTAAATATATTTTGAAATGATGAAATCAGACAGCCATTTCTCCCTAAAATAAGCTACCAACCACTTTATGAATTACACAGGACTAAATGCAAGTAGATTCTGCTGTACTTCAGAGGAAGTGTCTCAGGACTGAACACAAACTTAATAGTGAAATTCTTAAATTTGAGAGGCAGTACCATTTTGCAAGGTTATTTTTGTAATTTAGATATTAAAAGAGCCAGGAGGGTGGCATTGCAAGGTGCACGTATATATGTTGGAGAGAGATGTTAATTTTAAAGTACCTTTTTCCAAGAGAATTTCAGATGCTATTTTACATGTTAGGGTTTTTTTTCTAACTTCTCTGCCACTTCTTTTTGTCCTTTACCACCCTCCCAGTTTCATGACAAGATAGATCCAACTCTTGAGAGTCTGAAACGCATAGTTGAACGTCTGAGGCAGCCACCTTCAATCTCGGCAGAGGTTGAGAAGATTAAAGAGCAAATCAGTGAAAATAAGAATGTATCTGTGGATCTGGAAAAACTTCAGCCAGTGTATGAAACGCTTAAACAGAGAGGGGAGGAAATGATTGCTCGCTCAGAAGGCACTGATAAGGATATATCTGCTAAAGGTAATAGACTGAGGAAATTTTCATGTAGTGGAAATGCAGTAAGCTGCAGCATATAAAATTCTTCATTTCTGATGACCAGTAATCTGGGGAATGTGTTCTTCTGGAGAAGCTGCTAAAGATTTATAAAAGCAAAGCATTCATTTAAAATAATTAATTGTGGATATGACCTTTGTTTTATTTTTAAAGGCCATAGTGGTTTTTTCCACTTAACATTATAAGGAGTCCTATGAAGAAACAATTTTAGAGTCTAAATTTTAAAACGTACACATATGTTTCTGCTGTAGAACTGGAGAGAGATTTATGACCAACAATTATTTGCCAAGGTGGTAATCTAGTTCCTTTGTTGTTTAGCTGTTCAAGATAAACTGGACCAAATGGTCCTAATTTGGGAAGACATCCAGACCTTGACTGAGGAAAGGGAGGCCAAACTTTTGGATGTAATGGAACTAGCTGAAAAGTTTTGGTGTGATCATATGGCTCTTGTAGCTACTATTAAAGATACTCAGGACTTCATTCGAGAACTGGAGGGACCTGGAGTTGACCCATCTGTAGTCAAGCAACAGCAAGAAGCTGCAGAGGTCAGTAGAAAGTAATTTCTTGATTTGAAGTACTTTATGGTGTGCAGATGAAAAACAGAATTACTATGAAATACCATAGGAGAATATATTATTTGTTAGAGACGAAGAGGGATAATTGTGTAGAAATTTACAATAATGGTATCTCAAGAGTCTACAGTTAATAACATGTATCAGTGCTTAATTGCAATGAGCGTGCAACATGTGCCTGCTATTATATTTCCTTATTTGTTTATAAACATATATATAATAACCATGTCACCAAGACTCTTAAAAATTATACATACTTTAGATTCCTTGAGTACTGTGTAACATCTAAATGAAAGGTGTACAAATGTATTATGCTCTGTGAATTATCCTCTAAGCCTGTAATTATTTATGCTGATAGTTAAAGATTTAAAAGTTGAATGATAATCTCTGACAAAGAAGACACTGATTAAAGAAATCTAATTTAAAACTTCCTGTTTATTTTTTTCATCTAATGCAAAATGGTATCATAAGCCATTGTTTCAATTTAAACTGATGTCAGCTGATTTCACTCTGATACTGCAAAGGGATGCTTATATTTTAAGCATCTGACTGTGAGTCCAAGTGACCTGAAAGAAAACAAAGGGGGAATCGTGTTGTGTTTTCTCTTGAAAGCAAGTTGTTCATAAATTATTAAATTTAGTAATAACAGTGTTGGATTTTTTTTCTCTTTGTAGGCTGCTAAAGAAGAAATTGATGGACTACAAGAAGAACTAGAAACAGTTGTGAGCCTTGGCTCTGAACTTAGAGCTGCTTGTGGAGAGCCTGACAAACCTATTGTAAACAAGAGTATAGATGAGGTATGGGAAATGCACATGCTTAGCTCTGTTACATGAGATGCTTGTTCAGCTAAAGTTGGTATATTCCCCATGCCCCCAACAACTTTTGAAAATAAAAATTTTTTGGCAAAAGTTAGACACTGCTGAAGCTCTTATGGTAAAGTCAGGTTTGCCTTTTGAGTAAATGAATCTTAGAATAGATTAGAATGTACAGACTGTTTTATTTCATTGATTTATAGTAAAAGACAGACATTGATTATTTTTTTTTAAAAGACAGATTTTTTTTTAATACTCACTGATTAATATGGTAGATGACTACGTCTTGCAAAAGCAATGCTAGAATAAGTTTTGGATATATCTGGTTTATTCACAGTGAGACATCTTAAGTGAGACAATCCTGTTTGGATAACTGAAAAATACTTTTTATTTTTCTAGTGTTCTGCGATGTGTGATTCTTTTAAGCTACTTTAGTTATAATGATGTAACTCTAAATGATGTAGTAGCATTTCCTCTCTTAACTATAATTTCTATGTTAATAAAAATATTCAATCAGTATTGAAGGTTACAGCTTTTGTAATCCAGAACCTCAAGTGAATTCTGAAAGGAACTAGTTATGCAGTGATAGAGAGAACAAGAGTGGAATGAATACGAACTATTCATGCTTAGTTTATTGGTGTTATTGATCAGTGAAGAATTAGTAAATGCTTATTATACAGCAGTAAAATTCTTTTGTCCATTGGAATAAATTGCACTTACTTGCAGCTGAATTCTGCCTGGGATGCCCTAAACAAAACATGGAAAGAACGGGTAGATAAGCTTGCTGAAGCTATGCAGGCAGCTGTTCAATATCAAGATGGACTGCAGGTAAGATGATGTGATATACCTACCCCAGTCTTGAGTCAATAGTATTTAATGTGGTTGTAGTAAAGAATGTCGTATGATTAGGTAGGTGACAAGTAATGTATCACCCTGATTGTAGTGACTGTTTTCTTCAGGAGGCAGGTATTTGTTTTCAAGATTGGTTGGGTTTTTTTCGTTGAGGGGGGTTTTGCATTAAAGAATAAATCTGTTGGGTTGTTTTCTTCATGTGTATTTTCTTCATGTCCATATATTGCACTGAGTTTAGATTAAAAATTAGTGTCTCCTTGTTTATTGATAAGAGCAGAGGGTTTTTGACATCACATATTCATAGTTATCCTGCTCACATTTTCTTGAGATAGCCAGTGCTTCACATGGTAGGCAAGTTGAAGTTGTGACACATCTTCATTATACTCATTCTTAGTATAATTTATCCTATCCCAATACTTTAGAAGATGATTCCCTTTTTAAATCTGTAGGTAAATTTTCCACGAGTTTTTCAGGTTTTCTAAGATATCTTGTACATTGTACTTCCTACAACTGATGAAGTTCAAAAAAATTTCACGAGGAGAGGTTGGACTAGATGACCTTTAAAAGTCTTCCAACCCAAATTATTCTTTGATTCTATGTCTTTTCTCTTTATGTGCTGTTGGAATTTTGTTGTTGTTTTTTTTTTTCCTTGGTGGAATTACTGTCTTCTTTGGTTCATTAAATCATTAAAATTAAATTTTACATGACACTGAGGGCAGTTCCTTCTGTATTTGGTGCAGATCAATCAGCAGAATAATAATAACACAACATACCTGTTTTGCAGTGCATCCTCACTTAGTATTTTTCTCCAAGTTCTGCTCTGTTCATACTGTGCAGAGATTGACTAGGCAATTAGGAACACAGCCATTGGTTTAAGTGCTTTCTACTTCCTGTGACTGTGCATTGTACATCCTACCAGCTCGGTACTTTGCAAGAACTGAATTTAAGTGCTGTCTTGCACTCCTTTCAACGGACAATATGAAAAGTGTCATGACCAGATTGTTAACTGCAGCTGCCTCATCCTGTTGAGCGCTTTGGGGGTAGTTCTCCTTTTCTCAGGGAGCTGTGTAGCAGTGGGCTAGTTCAACAAGTTGTCCTAAGCCTTTCTTCATAGTGATATCTCTACACATAATAGGCAGGAGGAAAAGGGCCTAGCAGAGGTGTTTTTTATCCTGTGCAATTACCCAGATTGATGCAGCTGTTCTTTATCTATGTGAAGTGTTCTTGGGTTTCTGCATTGTATCAGGAGCAAAAGAAATACTCACAAAGCATCAGAACTGGAGAGATGTTACTTTTTTTTTTTTTTTAAGTTATAACTGCATTATCCTACAGAGATTCATTCTAGCTCAGTTATGGTCCCTCACCACCTAATATATACTGAATGTGTAGTTCCATGTTTCTTACACAAATAACATTCTTCGAAAAAAGTTTGCTTGTAATCCTCATTTAAGGTATGTTAGCTACTACCTTCCATTTTCACTCCAAACAACAGAGTTTGTCTTGCATTTACCTTTTAGGGTATTCATAAAAATTGCAGATTTTACACAAGAAGTAGAGTGCTACTCAGCAGGAATAATTCTGGCAGAGCGTTGCTGCTAATAGAAGCAGCAACTTGTACGTTCAGTCTTAAGGCTTGTACATTCCTGTAATTGTTACATGGATACTTGACATTTGTTCTATTGTATTGCAAAGAAACCCTTTTGCTGAGAAAGTTATTTTATTTTAAAGAGCACAGCAATACCTTCTCTGGAATGGAAAAAAAAAAAGTTCTGATATTTTACTTAATACAACTTTCAAATATGATAATATTTCTCTGCTCACGCTTGAATTTCCTACTGTGATTTTCAGGCATTATTTGACTGGGTAGACATTGCTGGCAGCAAGTTAGCATCTATGTCCCCAGTTGGAACAGATCTGGAGACAGTGAAGCAGCAAACTGAGGAACTTAAGGTATGAACTAGCAATTTATTTCTTTTATATTTACATCTGTCTGCATTTATCTGTGTTTTTTAGTATTTTTCAAGAGTCAGAAGCAGTTTTCATTTTAAATTTCTGGTAAAACAGAATATCTATGAAAATTACCAAATATTTCATTGCAAAATTTTAATTTTAAAATGTGCCTAATTTTAAAATCTATTCCAAGTTTTGTTAAGACTACATTTTATTTTTTAATAAAACCTGATAGCCCAGAAATGTTTTTAGCATAATTCATTCTCTTTCAAAAGCTATGAGGTTATTATGCACAGGTTCTTTTGCTATGACCTTTATGTTTTCTGGTTTCTAATAAGAACAGATTCTTTGAGGCTCCGAGCAAATGCCTCCAAAGCTTTGCTTCTGCCATTACAGGCTTTATCTAAATGTTCTCACAGGTCATGACATTCCCAGTACATGAGTAAGGGGAAAATAAAATTTTCAGGCTAACTTACAAACCTATCTGCATGAGTCTGGATCTGTGACTGAGTATGCTTCTGACATTGGTAGGCTGTTATATTTAAAAAGCAGGGATGTATAATGGTCAGAGAATGTTGTTGGTTTTCTTGCTCACCTGTAGATTTTGTTGGCTGTGGGTAGGTTGTTTTATCTCTTTTGTGGTGTAACTTCAAATGTACCATAATATTACATAGTTCAGAAAAACATATGTGTGCAAGTTGTATTCAGAGTGCTGCACAAGTTACGTGTACAAGAGGGTGTTCTACTAAAGGAAAATCACTTTCAGTTCTTTTGAAGAATAATTCCATTTGAAGTTTAAAGCATTATACCATTATAACCACAAGAGCTAGAACACAGAATCTTAGAATTACTTGTGAAACATTTATTTGTATTCTTTTTCTATTTACCGTAGCAATTTAAGACAGAAGCTTATCAGCAGCAGATAGAAATGGAAAGACTAAACCATCAGTCAGAACTATTGCTGAAGAAGGTAACACAGGAGAGTGACAAACACACTGTTCAAGACCCTCTCTCAGAGCTCAAAATACTGTGGGACAGCCTAGAAGAAAAAATTATAAGTAGACAGGTAAATATGCTTGGAGCTGGGGGCTTTATTCATGACTCAGATTTCTGCAAAAGGATCTTTTGCATCATCTACATTGTGTGTAATGTTCATGTTAATTTACACATTCCTTTTAGTTTGGAAATTACAGAACTATATGTAACAGAATTTGAATTTAACAATTCATTGAGGAGTTGTTTGTTTTGTTTTTAAAAACCCTTTTTAAATTCTCTATCAGCAGTACTCATTGAATCATTATTATTTTGTTTGGTAGCAGTTGAAAACGTTTTTATATGGGCAAAAGTAATATTAGCTGCTGAGCTAAGCACTTGGAAAAAAACCCAACAACTTAATATTAAACTATTTCAGTGTTCTTTCCACATATTATCAAACTGAGAGATTTAAAGATGCAGTGCTTTGAAGTGTACTATTTTTTCTAAACCGAATCATTCCATGACAAAGAAAAGATTTTAAAAAGATCATGCACCAAATTGCATTTATATTGAAATTATGTTTTAATGATGAAAAACTGCTGACATACCTGATGAGAGAACCTCCAAATTTAACTCTGCCCTGGTTGCGTGGCTTCTTCCAAGGTCAGGAATTTAAGCCTGGAATGTAAGGCTTTACAGTGGAATCGCCAACTCAGCTTTAATTGTAAAGCAGTTGCTTGTGTGGGATAACTGTTTTCCCTTGGTTTTTATGCTATTACATGCATGGACTCTGCTCTGGATTATAGTGACTAATGGTAATGTAAGCCAATTCAATAGCATTGTAAAACTATTTTATTGTTAATTTTATTTTTACTATAGCACAAGCTGGAAGGTGCCTTGTTAGCCTTGGGGCAGTTCCAGCATGCCCTGGATGAGTTACTGACATGGCTGACACATACAGAAGACCTGCTGAATGAACAGAAACCCGTGGGTGGAGACCCCAAGGCTATTGAAATTGAACTTGCCAAACATCATGTATGTAATTATAATGAATATTAAATGAAATGTTATTTTGATATTTATCTTAGGGATGAATTTATCTTAGAGCATGATAATGCTCTAAACAGATTTTCAAGATGCGGATTATAGCTGAAATGCAGACTTGGAAAAAATAATATCTTTCCTCTTACTCCTCTACTTTCCTCCCTTTCTTGCATATGCTATGCAAGTGACATAGGTTTTAGCCAAAAAAGAGCTGCTCACCCCAGTCTCCACCTCTAATCACCTAGGGAACTCAAAAGTTACTGAACCTGCTACTCCCTATGAAGCTATAAACTTCTTGATTTAGTTTTGTTTAAGCCAGGTTTCACAAACTGCACAACTGTTGCAGATGTCTGGTTCTTTCTTCCTTCTCAGAACGCAGTGATTTGTTGTTCTGAATTCTGTAAAACTGTATGTCAGTTGGGTCCAGCTAACATGGAGAATGCTTCTGTGAAAATCTAAACCCCTCATCTTTTTTCTCTTTGTTACTTACAATGTGGGATTAACTTTTTAGGTTTTTGTTTTAGTATTTTTACTCATCACTGTGACTTAGGAGCCCATGGAAGAATGCTTCCACTAATGCCTTTGTTTTGAAGAATATCTCCCAGGAGCAAGAGAGCTTCCCTACCTCTTTATGTGACCTCTCTTCATGATGGCGTATTCTTTCTAGGTTTGAAGATTTCACTCTAACCTCATAAGTCCTCTCCTTTTAAATCTGCCATTTAATTTTTGGCCTGCATAGGATGTGAAAAGTATTCAGAGTTCATTTTCGATTTTGAAGGAATTAATTGAAATTGACAGTACGCAGATAATTAAGGTATTTTCATTGTCTGTGTTAATGCAGCTATGCAGCTTCTGAAGGCTTGTGTGGTTAGTTGGAATTTGAGCAGAGCACAATATCTACATTGCCTATGTGACTACTGTTATAAGCAAACCCTTTTAAAACAAAGTAAATTGAATTACAAAACCAGGTTCTGCTCCAGGAACCTTTTATATTCTTATCTAATGGAAGTGTTTTACTAGTGAAGAAGCATCCACACATCATTTATGTCTGTGCTGAAGGACTTCAGCAAACACATGAATTAATCTACTTCCTTTTCATAATACAGAGTTTATAGGTTAGAAAGTTCACACAGTAGTGCATCCTGTGGTAGCCTGGAAAAACATCCATCCCTTGAATAACTTCAGAAAGAATAGACCTTGTTCTTAGTGAGTCTCAGCAGGAAGGAAGGGATAAAGATGCATCTGCTTCTGTGAAGATCCCTTTTTTCACCATTAGGAAAATAAAATAATAATAATCTTCTAGTGCTTAGCTTAAAAGAATTGAAGTAAACATGATGTGGATTTTGTATTCAAGGGCTACTTGTGACTTGCTGTTTCATTATGTGCTCTATATAGTTTATTTTACAATTCCTTTGTATTTAGATATATATTTTTTCCATATGCTAGCATTTGAGGTAAGTTTGAGTCAGACCCCATAGAAGTCAGCAGTCATAAACTTGAATTCCTTAGATGGGATTTACCATTCCCCTCCCAAACATTTTTCTTATTTATTTTTCTGTTTCTGTTCTTTTTTGTTCTGTATTAAACCTTTTTTCCCCTCCCCTATCCTTTTGAAAACAGTATTCGTTTCCCAAATGTCCTTTTTGCCTTTTATGGGTTTACTATGGTTGGAAATAAGGGGTTTTCAAGCAGATGGAAAAGGTTGTGTGGTGTTAGTATGCCAACTGTTCCCCAGATTTTAGCACAGCTCAGGTGCCCTGGTAGCCTGACTCATATGAAATGAGTTGTAGTCATGAAATGCATAAAAAGATATCGCAGCAGTCAGGTTGTTGTGTAGCACAGCAGGCACATAGTATTCAAAGAAAAATCATATTAAACAAAAATATGTCATAAATAAGAAGAATGAAGAAATAATTCTTCCTTAGAGCTACTAGAAACTTCTAATAATTTCAGAAATATATGTATTCAGAGGGAATATATTATTTTTTCCAAGATACAAACATTAACTTTGGCATTTTGGCAGAATGGTCTGTTAGTGCTTTGGATTGAAGAGGCCTTAGTTATTAGCTTTAATTGCTAATACCTGTGTTGATGTTAAACTGCTGTCACTGGAGTACAACTAGTTCAGTCACTGTGATTGCCTTCATTCAGTAATTTACCAACACAGACAGTCATACATGCTGTGTTACAATTGTAGGTGCTACAAAATGATGTTTTAGCTCATCAGTCTACCGTGGAAGCTGTTAAAAAAGCAGGAAATGACCTGATTGAGTCAAGTGCTGTTGAAGAAGCAAGTAATTTACGGAGCAAGTTGGAACTCCTGAATCAGCGCTGGCAAAACTTGTTGGAAAAAACAGAACAAAGGAAACAGCAGCTGGACAGTGCCTTGATCCAGGTGAACAGGAAATGATCAAATATAGAAATAACTCAGAAAAAGTGTCTTTTACAAGAAATACATGGATATATGTATTAGAAGTTGGCCTAAATCAAAACCATAATGCAGACACCCCTGAATTTGGAGAAAGTTTGAATCCAGCTGTATCTTCCACAGCTGGCCTCTCTCTTTTATTGCTGAAACAACACTTCAGCTTTTGGTCTACATATTTTTCAAGGGTGAAATTTCTGTATTGGTGTATTATTCAGGGAAAACACTGGTCTCACAGTAGGTCATTTAACTTGCTTTCAAGATTTCCATGTTTTTGGAATTGAAATAGAATTGAGCTAGTTTATATTTTGGTTTGTTTTTTTCATTTTTCTTTTTTACCTTCCCTTTTCATTTAATCTGATCATTATAAATATCTGATTAAATCTGTTGCCAGTGTACTTATGCATCTAAGCTGGTATTAGAATGGAGAACATTTTCACTAAGCTCTAAAATGATATGGTGTAATTTAGGCACAAGGTTTCCATGGTGAAGTTGAAGATCTGCAGCAATGGCTGACAGATACTGAACATCAGCTGTTGGCATCAAAACCTGTTGGAGGTTTACCAGAAACAGCAAGAGAGCAGCTTAATGCACATATGGTAAGTGTCAGTATTAGAATGCTTTGCAATTTGTATTTCAGGACTAACTATCTTTCAAGAGTGTTTTTGGTAAATATGGAGTATGTTCTATATATTACCACGTCTGTACAGTATCTTATAAAAATTTAATAACCTTCAAAACATCACTTATTTTCAGTGTAGTTTAGTAGTCTATTGGGACATATGCCCAAAGCTGAACCATTAATAGTGTTGAGACAAATAAAATAACTTTTTCATCCTTATTCTTGGAAAGAAAAACAGAAGATGTTTGCAGATTTTTCAGTGATCCCTTTTCTCTTCTGACTCCACAACAAAATTTATGCTTTTTCTAGGATTTGAAGATGAACTTAAAAGTGGCCCACATTTTTTGAACCTTAAGAGACTTGATCCTTTATTCCTTACCTAACTAAAGCTGACATCATTAGCATTGAAGTAAGAAGGGCTACTGGCTCATAGAGGCTGTGCTTTAACTAGAAATGGCAAAGTGACCAGGATGCCTGAATTATTCCTTTTCTTTCTCTTTAAGAAACATTCTATGGATTTCTCTGCTCCCATAGAACCGTAGAGCTTAAAAAAAGACACTTAAACTTGATCTCTTACCTCAGAAGAAGGTGGTTCATAGTGCTCCATTTATGTAAAATCATGCTATGCCATTAGGCCAGGATATAAGCCCAAACCTGGTGATCTAAACTTCTGAACTCCTGGCTCAGAGGTAACAGTGGTATTTACTGAACTGTCCTTGAACTCCAATATGCCTGACACAGTTCCCATTGAAACACTGCATTGTCAAAGCATTAAAAATAAGATTTTATTTTGGAATGATGCTAAAGGTCATTGCTCACCAACATGGGGCACAATTTTTTTCCTTCCTCTTTTTCTGCCAAAATTTGCCAGTAACTATAATTGAGAAAGAATCTTAATTTACAGTTTTAAGATCAGTTATAACAGGAAACTAGATCAAAACACAGAAATAATCCTGTGGTTTTGAAACCCCCTGATCCTTCTCTTTTTGTCTTAAAGGAAAAAAAAAAAAGGGGGGGGAAGAAAAGAGCTTCTTTTTTTCCACCCTGTGAGAGTAGGATGTAATTATGATTCCCTGAAAGTCAATGGAGCTCTTTCCTTTTCTTGTCCCGGACTTAGTCAGATTAGGACCCAAAATTTTTCCATTGAAAACTTCAGGATTTTCTTTACTACATTCTTTTGCTATGCAAATGTTCTATACCTACAATGCTTACACACTGATTAGTTAAAGGGCCTTTAAACTGAATGTAGTATCATAGTTGGACCAAGTCTGGCTGCCCTCAGTAATATGTATTATAGATGTACAATCACTCCCTAACTGTACATGGACACTTTAACAAATTGTTACTGTACTGGTGGCCATTCTATAACTTCAGGCGTTGGCATTGGTCCTTTAAAATAAAGAACTTGATTTTCCTTTAGTTAAACCTTAGTTCATATGTGTTAGTTCTCTCTCTCCCTCTCTTTTTTTTTTTTTTTTTTTTTTTTTTTTTTTTTTTTTTTTTTTTTTTTTTTTTTTTTTTTTTTTTTTTTTTTTTTTTTTTTTTTTTTTTTTTTTTTTTTTTTTTTTTTTTTTTTTTGGCTGAAATGTTGAGGCCAGTGTCATATTGACTACTAGTCATCATAAGTTCCAAATTCTAACTTGGTCCTAAGTGATACAAACCATTTCTGACATGAAACTGAAGAAATAAAGTTATGAACCATTGTCTTGTGTACAAGGCCTGTTTCTACAGATATAAATAAAAGATCTCCCAACCATAATTGGCTTGCTAATGGAGTTGAGGTTGGGCTGCGTTTCCAGCTAAGGCAACTCCAGGAAAACAAAAGATATGAAGAGACACTACAGGACACCAGCAGGAAAGGGGCTTAAAAAGAGGCCTTTTATCTGTCCCAGTGCTGCCCTCCCTTTCTTAAAACAATCATTGTTCTCAGTTTCTTCCTTAAAAGAACTTTAATTGCTCCTGCCCTTTGAAGAGTGTGACTGTGACTCTACTGCAGAATTAACCACTGTAATGGGCTGTTGTCTCAGGCTGAGGCCCAGCCCCTGTGTTTGGAACCGCTCCTGCCTTGCCTGGTCTCACCTGTGCTGTGCTTCTTGTGTTTATTTCTGAGGGGTTCTTGTGGTGCAGTAAAGTAAGATGCTCTGGGGAGTTATGGAAATCAGAAATATTCTAGGGACATTGGCATTGTAGGAGGAAGCAGACTAGGTGACACCACTTTTCATAGTCCTCAGAAAGAAGGCAAAGAAGCCTTCTGTCCTGTCAAAATCTTAAACTCATGATTAAACCTGCTTCCTGCTCTGCCCTCCTATTTGATTAGGTGCAAGCCCTGTGTACATTATCTCTTAACCGAAAGAAAGTGTTTGGTTTGGGCTTTTCTCCTGGGAATCAGAGGAATCAAATTTTCCTCTTATTTGCAAGCCTTTTATTCCTCATCTCCTGGAAGATATTCCTCATTTGGGAGTCTGCAGCAATGTTGTTGGTACATTTTGGTTTGTCTGTTAAAAATATTTAATGTACCCATTTGAGTCAGAGGGATGCATGGGAGGTCCCAGACTCTTGACAGAGTCTAACTTTTAACATAGTTAGAAAAGCATCATTAGTTAAATAGTGAACAGGTAAAAGATGTGTTACCGTTATTATTCCAGCTTGCTTTGTATGTCTGAAATGTCTTCAGTGCTTATGCCTAACAAGTGAAGGAAGATATAGACAAAACAATGTACAATAGAATAGCCCTCCCAAGTTGTCCCACCCACTTTTGAAGGTGTATTTTGGAGATCTGGGCTTTCAGCACGCTGTGTAATGCTGACACTTCTTGTGTTTTGGCTACAAATGACTTTAAACCAATCAAGCTGTAGCAACTCTTGTGTAATAAGTGCGCAGTACTTTCTTTGCCAAGCTTTGGATCTCATTGAAGACATTGACAAACAGTACAAGTTCTCATTTCCTGAAGAACTAGACCCTTTCTTTGCTCATTTGGGGTTTTATGAATTACATATGTTTCCTTTGTTAGTCTTAATCATACCCGCTAAATGTTGGGGGAGGAATAAATATTATACTGTCATTTATAAAGAGTATTGAATTTCTACCTTACTTGTTTTTTGGTGCTTTTTTTATTTAGGAACTTTGTGCTGCCTTTGAAGCCAAAGAAGAGACATATAAATGTCTAATGCAGAAAGGCCAGCAGATGCTTGCAAGATGCCCAGAGTCTGCTGAAACAAACGTTGAGCAGGACNTGACTACTAGTCATCATAAGTTCCAAATTCTAACTTGGTCCTAAGTGATACAAACCATTTCTGACGTGAAACTGAAGAAATAAAGTTATGAACCATTGTCTTGTGTACAAGGCCTGTTTCTACAGATATAAATAAAAGATCCCAACCATAATTGGCTCGCTAATGGAGTTGAGGTTGGGCTGCGTTTCCAGCTAAGGCAACTCCAGGAAAACAAAAGATATGACGAGACACTACAGGACACCAGCAGGAAAGGGGCTTAAAAAGAGGCCTTTTATCTGTCCCAGTGCTGCCCTCCCTTTCTTAAAACAATCATTGTTCTCAGTTTCTTCCTTAAAAGAACTTTAATTGCTCCTGCCCTTTGAAGAGTGTGACTGTGACTCTACTGCAGAATTAACTACTGTAATGGGCTGTTGTCTCAGGCTGAGGCCCAGCCCTTGTGTTTGGAACCACTCCTGCCTTGCCTTGTCTCACCTGTGCTGTGCTTCCTGTGTTTATTTCTGAGGGGTTCTTGTGGTGCAGTAAAGTAAGATGCTCTGGGGAGTTATGGAAATCAGAAATATTCTAGGGACATGGGCATTGTAGGAGGAAGCAGACTAGGTGACACCACTTTTCATAGTCCTCAGAAAGAAGGCAAAGAAGCCTTCCGTCCTGTCAAAATCTTAAACTCATGATTAAACCTGCTTCCTGCTCTGCCCTCCGATTTGATTAGGTGCAAGCCCTGTGTACATTATCTCTTAACCGAAAGAAAGTGTTTGGTTTGGGCTTTTCTCCTGGGAATCAGAGGAATCAAATTTTCCTCTTATATGCAAGCCTTTTATTCCTCATCTCCTGGAAGATATTCCTCATTTGGGAGTCTGCAGCAATGTTGTTGGTACATTTTGGTTTGTCTGTTAAAAATATTTAATGTGCCCATTTGAGTCAGAGGGATGCATGGGAGGTCCCAGACTCTTGACAGAGTCTAACTTTTAACATAGTTAGAAAAGCATCATTAGTTAAATAGTGAACAGGTAAAAGATGTGTTACCGTTATTATTCCAGCTTGCTTTGTATGTCTGAAATGTCTTCAGTGCTTATGCCTAACAAGTGAAGGAAGATATAGACAAAACAATGTACAATAGAATAGCCCTCCCAAGTTGTCCCACCCACTTTTGAAGGTGTATTTTGGAGATCTGGGCTTTCAGCACGCTGTGTAACGCTGACACTTCTTGTGTTTTGGCTACAAATGACTTTAAACCAATCAAGCTGTAGCAACTCTTGTGTAATAAGTGCGCAGTACTTTCTTTGCCAACCTTTGGATCTCATTGAAGACATTGACAAACAGTACAAGTTCTCATTTCCTGAAGAACTAGACCCTTTCTTTGCTCATTTGGGGTTTTATGAATTACATATGTTTCCTTTGTTAGTCTTAATCATACCCGCTAAATGTTGGGGGAGGAATAAATATTATACTGTCATTTATAAAGAGTATTGAATTTCTACCTTACTTGTTTTTTGGTGCTTTTTTTATTTAGGAACTTTGTGCTGCCTTTGAAGCCAAAGAAGAGACATATAAATGTCTAATGCAGAAAGGCCAGCAGATGCTTGCAAGATGCCCAGAGTCTGCTGAAACAAACGTTG